ATTGGGGGTTGGGGGTTGGGGGTTACGCACCGGTAAAAGGCGCAACGGAAGATTAAAAACAATTTGCCGCCGCCGGGGGTAGTAGCATCTCAATTTGCTGGCTTCTGCCCCCCCAGGAGCCCACCAACAGTCCAACCTGCAGAGGCGAAAGCCCAAGCGATTCCTAGACCCGCAAAATGCACTCGACGAAGCCTCATAAATACCGAATTAGTTGGTAATTCTATAAGCAACACGCGCCCATTGATGACGACGATGACGACGTCGTCGAGGACTGCCGATAAAGATGGATAGCTAGCATGGGGTTCTCTCTGGTCCCCGGGTTCTGTGCTGAAAATTGTAAGGGAAATGGTAATGGAAATGGAAATGGAAATGGAAATGGGTCGCGTGTTTCACCAGATAACAAGCGAGGCAAGCAACAAAAAAATAGAAAAATCGTACTGGGGCCATTTGAGAAGTTTGGGAATCGATTGTATCTGAGAGATAGCCTGACTCCCGGATTCGAAATCTGATTGAGCCGCTGCACGTGCCGCTGGCTGGTGCGACAATTAGCCGCAAATGGCAAATGAATTTCCCAAGCATTTTCATTAGCATAATTAATAGAAAATAATGAGCAGTGCCTTTCAATTAAGCTATTTATAAAGCTATGCCACTTGAGCATCTACAAAATATATACAATTTATGGTGAAATACTTTTATAAATTAAGCTCTGGTTAATGATTAACAAGTTTATATTAATAAGATACATTGAGGCAGAGGTTAAGAGGTATTTCTTAAATATGTAACTTGAATATGTATTGTTACGTTATGGTTAATTACTATAAATAGAAATAATATACAAATTAGGTATTATTATTGATTAGTCCATTATTTAAGCTTTGTTTCTTTTATATATTCTAAATAGCTTTACTTGAAAGATCAAAGAGTTATTACCTTAAGATCTATATACAGATATCTAAATTTTATATGAAATCATTATAGTTTTTACAGTAAATCCTAGTTTTTGATATTTATTCTAAGCAAAAATTAATTTTAATTCAATTAAAATACATTATTTTCCACCACTAGGTAAGAAATGGAAGGTTTATGTATTGATATATCGATAAAAATGATATATATATACCTTATCTATATTACAAGTCAAAATTTTAAATAGATCTAAAAAAAAACCAAGTTTTAAATATTTTTAGTATGCATATATTAATTTTAAATCAATTAAAATGAATGCTTTACCAATTTAAGCAAAGAAATTGAAGTTTTCTATAATTTCATATAGTTTAATATAAAGTCTATATATATTTTACTTATTTTTATTACAATAAATATGTCTGAATAGAGTTTAACTCCAAAGAACCAGAGCTATGTCTGTGTATCTTTAGTGTTGAGTGCCGGTAGTCCAGGTCCGGGGCGTGGCAAGTTTTATGAGCTGAATTAATGGTTTATGATGATGATGGCTGCCTCGCCCTGCTCCGAAATAGAAACTAAAATGGGAATTGGAATGGGAATGGCAAGAGCCAGAGCAGGAGCAGGAACAGGAGCAGGAGCAGGAGCAGAAACAGGAGAAGGAGCTTTTGGAATGCCCTGCTGCCCCGACCCATTGTTATCGAGGCGCTGACGGGGCCAGAGCAGAGCTCTCCCCGTTGGGATCACAGCAAGTTTCCTCAGAAGCCGCTGCAAAAAATAAATAAATAATAATGAAAAGAGGAAAAAAACCTCCACAGAAGGCAAAAAAAAAGGCGGACGCGTGCCCCACGGATGCCAATGAATGCGCAAACAAACACCGGGACGACGACGCACAGCGAAAATCCGCAAAATCTGAAATCAGAGAGCGATTATAGGCCGCCGCAGGAATGTTCTGGTAGCCGTCGACCGACCAAAAGACCATCTTCTCGTTTTGTTTGCCAATCCGAAATTCCTCAAACAAAAAAAAAAAAGAGGGAAAGAAATCCAGGGAGTTATTCATCCTTTGCAAGTCAGGTGTGCGAGCCAGGTGAGAGGAGTGAGGAAACAAGTATTATTAGCTTCCATTTCCTCAGAACTCAGCCAAAATTTGGGTTTTAAATTGTTTCAAGAAGAAGAGTTTTAAGAAGATTTTTAATATGAAATTATATAATATTAGGGAAAAGAAATATACTTGTATATCTCCTTAGACTTAAGATTCCGTTTTCAACATTTTAAAATAATCTATCGAAGTTAATTCAGAGAAGAGTAGTTATCGTAGGAAATCACAGTTTTAATATGGATTTTAAATTGATATAATTCCATATCTGGTGAATGAAACTAGAGGTCAACTTTAATTTAAATTAGAGCTCTCAGAAAATCAAAGATTTCGATATATTTCCTGAACAAATATCGATTATTAAACAATAAAAGCTTCATCTGTGTTTAAGTTTTCTCCATATATATATTTTAAATCTAGTTAATAAATGGAAATTATTATATTTTCCACAATTTATACAAACCGAAATAGAGAAATTTAATTAAAATTAAATCAAGATTGTTTCTTATTTAAAAAGTGTAATAAAGTATTTAAAAAACAATTTACCAAATAAAAATACTTACAACCAAGTGAAAGCCTTCAGATTTTCAAAACCAAATTCAAAACTTCCCATTAAAATCTTGAATAATAACAACAATGTTCCTTTTTTTTGTTTTTTATATATATTATTCATCTGATCATATTTTGTGAACTTTTTACAATTATTTTAGTTTTTCTTTCGGTTTTATAATTAAAAAAAAAAAAGAATTAACCAGTTTGCTTAAACGTTAGCATATAATATATATAATTATATATAATATATATATATATATATGTATATATATGTATATATATATAGGGAGCATACATACACATATATAGTCATATATGCTGCATGTGTGTGTGTGGGTGTGTGTGTGAACGAGTATGTGTCTCTATACACTATATAGATCCGTTCTTAAATATTAATAACTAATTTTGTTTATCTCCTCCCATATTTATCCATCCCTCTTTATGCCCACGTTTCATTCCTTTTTCTTTTCGTTTGCTTTGTTTCCATTTTCTTTTCGCTTAATATTTAACCCGCGGGAAAAAAAATGTTCTTAATTTTAGTGAATTAAATGCTAAATATTCTTAAATTTCTTCTTACATGCGTTGAGAGTGTGTGTGTGTCTGTGTTGTGAGAGAGAGTGTGTGTGTTGCGATGTGTTTTTTAAACAAATTGTTAAGCTTAAATTACAATTAAATTGAAATTAAAACTAAACAAAAAATGCCAGAAGAATTCGCTATTGAACTAACTTTTTTATGTTGTAGGCTGTCTATCTGTGATTTTGTTTGCTTTGTTTTTTCTTATAGCTTTTTGTGATTTTAAATATTACAAAAGTTGTTCATTATTTTATATATATTTTTTAGCATACTTTTTATGAAAGACATTTACACTCACACATATGGGATATATGTTTTATGTAGTTTATATATATATATATATATTTACCAAGAATTATTTCATGTGTTTTTTTCTCGCTTTTCGATTTTTGTACATTTTTAAAAATTACGTTTAAACTATTTTATATATATATAATATATATATATAAATATGATCTTGCTGTATTTTGTTTTGCTTTTGGATTGTGGCTTGTGTGGTTTTATTTGAAATAAAATTTCCTATATATATATATATATGTATATATATATATATATCATTGATCAAGTGTGAAGTTTATAATTTCGAGTTTTCCCTTAAATGCTAAATCCTTCCACTTTTCCCTCGCTCCTCCTTCCCCGTCTTCATTATATGCTTTTAAGTCTGAAATGTTAATTCGTTTTAGCTGATTTGGGTTGATTTTTGTTTATGTTATGTATAAATATTCTTGTTTTTTTTCATGTTTTTGTTTTTAAGACGACAAAATGATGATTTGAACTTGAAACTTTTTTTCTTGATTTTTCTTTAGCTTTTTTATCGTAATGTTATGTTTTTAGCTTTTAGTTTTTAGTTTGGTTTAAAGAACTTGAAAATTGGAATTAAGTTTAGCTTTTATGATATGCTGAGAGCTGGCCCTAACCCCGGTGCAGCTCTATCTTAACCTTCTTCTGATTTCTTGTGGGAATAAACATATATATATGTATATATACCCCTTCCCCCCTGTACCATGGCATGGTCTACATATTGCATTTAAAAATTTCTCCCTCTCTTCAAAACTCATTCGCTTACTTAATTTAATGCCATTTAAGCATTTACTCTCTTTCATCTTTCTTATTTTTTAAACAAAACAAACTTGTATTTCTTTGTTTTGTTTTGTTTGTTTATATCGTTTTATCACTCATTTACTTCGTTGATCCTGGCGGCTTAAGCTAGATCTCTATAATACCTATAGTTATAGATTTATCTTCAAGTTTTTCTCAACTTAACTTGCTTTTTAGTTCGATTTTTGCTCCTTGTTTTTTTTATACATGCTTTACTAAGTTTATTTATATATATATTTATGTGTATGAAAAAAAAAATATTGTTGTTAACTACACAATACAAAAAAAAAGGGGAAATAAAACTAACAGCCCTGGTGCTTTCTGGGAATCCTATATCGGTGGCCTTTTCATATTTTTTACACAATTTTGATTCTCTTTTGTCTAAGAAAATAAAGAAATTGGTAAAGAACAAACAAGAAAAACCAAGGGAAAACTAGAAAGTATATAGGTTACTGAAAGATATAGAGTAGAGGTTCTTGTGCCACCGCATAAAATTGCAAAGAGAAACCCAAGGCTGTGTCTGTATATATATATTGATCTGATCCGGGGGGTGTCCTTGCTAGGATCTGGATATGTAATGCAGTAGAATCCAGGCCCATCATCTAACCAAAGTTGTGATCCAGCTGCTGATGATGATCCTGTAGCTGCTGCTGCTGTTGCTGCAGTGAATGATGTTGCTGCTGCAGATGTTGCTGCTGCTGCAGTTGCTGCTGCTGTTGCTGCTGTTGCTGCTGTTGCTCCAGCAGCACTGGCGAGCTATCACCACCGCTGCCCCCCGAATTCGTATTGGTATTATTGGTGCTGCCGCCGCAGTACTGCAAGAGTAGATTCTACACCATATTCGCGTACTTATCCTGCGGCGACATGTAATCCAGGCTGTTCTGGGAGAAGGCCTGCGCGGATACGGTGCCGGTGAAGGACGGCGATGGCGATAGGCCAAAATTGGAGGCCGTGTAGCCCGAGTGTCCCATATTATAGTTGACCTGATTCTGGTTGCTAAAGTACTCCATCTGTGAGTAATAGCTGGGCGCCTGGGCATAGTTATTGGGATACTGCTGATACTGATTATGCCAGAAGTTGTACGAGTCATGGTTGGACATATAGGCCGCCGAATGGGCAGCGGAATGATGGGCGGACTGGGCCGACTGTGCGGCATGCGCCGCTGCGGCCGCCGATTGTGGCGACATGGGTGTAATCGGTGGCGATGGAGTCGTAATGCTGCTGCTGCTATCCATGGGCGTTATGTTGCCACCCGGCTGGAGCAGTCGCGGATTGCTGCCGCCCGCCGCCGAGCCATAGATGCTGTGATGATGATGCACACCACCGGCACCAATATCGCCACCGGCATCCTTCAACTGATCGTACGGGGACCGCAATAGATCCTGTGACACACCCACACCGCCCACACCGACGCCAACGCCAACGCCGCCCAAATTGAGGCCACCGACAACGCCCACGCCCACGCCCGAGGAGCCAGAGCTGCCGCCAACACCTGAACCGCCGCCATAGCCGCCGGAGAGATGCTCCTTCTTGCACACAATGCTCACCGGACTCACTGACGTGGCCGGTGTGGGCAGCAGTGGCGAGGAGTTCTGATGCGCTGCCGTTACATTCAGGGCTGCCGCCGCTGCTGCTGCCGAGAGGTGACTTCCGGCTCCACCGCCGCCACCGCCGCCCCCGCCGCTGCTGCTGCTGCTGCTGTTGGGCGTGGATCCACCGTTACCGCCACCACCGCCTCCTCCTCCTCCACCGCCACCGTTCCCGCTGCTATTTGCCGCCGCCGCTGCCGCAGCGCTCAGGAATGAGTTGTGATGCGATTTGAGCGATTGAGTCGCTGCCGCTGCCGCTGCATTGGCCGCCGCTGCTGCCGCCGCCGAGTTGCTGCTGCCGCTGGAAGAACCGCCTGCCCCTACGCCTCCGCCGCTGCCGCTCTGGCCCTGGCTGGACTGTGACTGGGCGTGGGCGTGGCTCTGCTTCTGGCCCGATTTGCTATTGCCGGATCCACCGCTCTGTGAGCCGTTGTTGTTGTTGCTGCCATTGCGGCTATTGGATGAACTACTGCAGCTTCCGCCGCCGCTGGAGCCGCTGGCATTCTTGGAGCTGCTCAGGCTATTGGATTGCTGCTGCTGCTGGAGCTGCTGTCGGCACTTGGCGCGTCGGTTTTTGAACCACACCTGGAAAGGGGGAAGAGAGTGGGTTAGTTGGAGGTACTTTCAGATTATGGCTTAAATTGAGCTTAAACTTTCAATTTTATTCTATATATTTCGAGGTTAAAGGGCCTAAGGAAGTAAAAAGACAAAAGATGAGTAGGTTAAGAAGTCAATTAAAGAAACTTTCTCCTTCTTTGGGTACTAAATATAATGATTTGATTTAATTAAATAAAATTTAAATTTGATTTAATTAAATTTTTATACCCTATATATATTAATATATGTATATTCTAATTTTAGTCAAAAGCTTGAAACAAAGTGAAGGTGTCATTTCCGACCCTAGAAATAATATATATTCTTGATCAGCATCAACAGCCGAATCGATCTAGCCATCTTAGAAAGAAAATTTTTGTTTTTAAATTTTTCAAATTTTTTTAAGGGGGTTAAATTGAAAAAAAAAATGTGAGAAATTTAAATTTTTACATTTTAAATTGAGTATGCAACTTTGTTAATCTAAGAAAAATTAGCAAAGAGCAGCTTTCCGAATTGAAATTAATGATTTTTTGGCGGAGTTATGAGTTTTTCAAATTTTGATTTATCGAAATAAATGTCATATAAAAATATGGATGAATTTCGATTCAAAGGATGCGAATACCTTAACTTATATTTTGATTTAATACAAATAATGTTAAGAAAGCCTCCTTCCTTTCCCTAAAGTCTACCTAAAGAGACCTCAAAGTTGTTATATTAAAAAACCAGCTACAAGACCTACTTTAAGCCCACCCAAAAAAACAAATGAAATCAATCAGAACCCCGTCGTCTTCGTTGTCCAATCAATCGAGCGTTTAAAACCTTCATTTCGATGCCACAAATTATTGTGTGGCTATCCAAGCAGATCATGTCTCTACAACATTCTAAAGCTGCCATTGGGAAAATCGGAAAAGAAGGTAAATAAAATAGCAGACGGTGACAAAAAAAAAAGAAATAAGAAAGGAACAATTTGAAATGCTTTGAAGTTTTTCCCTCACACCCGAAATTCGGTTCTGAAAACCCCTGCATTTCCTTTGAAGTTCATTAGAAGCACAAGAAAGAACACAAAATCAAATCGCTTAAATATTTGTCTAAATTTTTGCTAAAATTTGCAAAAAATGTACAAATATTGCGTTATCAATATTATTATGCAATTTGGGAGCAGTTCATTAAACGGAATCAAAGTAAAGCGAAAATCAGGGCAGGACAGGACAGAGGGGACCTCAAAGTCAAATCACAAAAGGAGATTTACGAATGCAAAATTGAATTGAAAAATGAAATTGAATTTTCAAAAGGGGCGGCACGGTGGTTGCCTTGTGCTGACAAATAATGAAATTTGATACGCCTTGTTTAATGCTCTTTTTTCGAGGGTATGCCCTCCTCCCCCGCATTGAGAAACATTTTCCGAAAAGGTTTTTCTCCCTTTCCCCAGAAAACGGCAATGAAATGCTCGAGTGGCCGCAGCCGCAGCCGCGTGGCAAGTGTTAACTTCCAAAAAGGGGCACGAAACCTGGGGGCAGAGTGGGTGGATTGGGTGGGGGAGCTCGGTAATAAATTCAGCTGTTTACCAAAGCACAAGCCATTAGCAAGCAACACCAACACCAACCCCAAAAAGCAACAAATCACTGAAATAACATTTGCCATGCAATCGGTTTGCGTTTCGGGTTCGGGTTCGGGTTCGGGATTTTTTTATTCGGGTTTTTCGGGATTCGTGCTCGACTTCGGCTTTGGATTTGATTTTTCTTGGCCAGCGTTGCCAGAAGTTCACAGTATTGAAATGAAAGTACTTGATATACTTGGTTTTGGGTGACAAAATGAATACTATTAACTCTCTTTCATATGTATAGAGGTATATTAGAATTTTCAAATGTAAAACTGTATAAATTCTGGGATTTAACTCTATTAAATATGTTTTTCAATAACCTTGGCAATGTAGAACCTTAAAAATATTAATAAAAATTAGATTTTTTGAAGGATTTATGGAAATTAAAGTGTCTAGGAAAAGGGTCCCATAACTTTTGATTAAATTCTCAAAAATATTAAACGTAAGCCTAAAAATCTTCAATATAATTTCTCAATATTATAGCCAACTAATGAATAAAACCCAAAACGACTGAACTGGCACTTAGCGGATTGTTTGCAGCCCCTTAAGCATAACAAACAAGGCTAAGTGAATTCCTTGCGCTCGAGTGTGCCGCTTTATGGGCTGTTTATTGTTGTCTTCTCGTCTTCGATTCGGCAAGGGATGCGTTTTCCCAAAAATAAAAAAAAGAGGGAGGCAGGGATGGAGGGCAGAAGGACGAGTGGGTGGTTTTGGGTGGGAGAGGAGGGCGTGATTCTGTGTGACAATATAATCGAGTCAATTTTTTGGCCGCCGCCGGCTGTTGATGTAACTTTTCCTCTCTCGTCCTTTGCAGGCGCGTGACTTTTTGCACTTGTCGTCGTATATATATATATGTATCCTGTACATACCAACCCTCTTTCCTGGGTACCCCCAGCATAATTTATTCATTGCTCGGCCCGGCAAACTAATTGATGTGGGAAAATTGCAGCCGCCGGCTATCGGCACACGCCCACTTTCACGCCCACTCCTCCATGAAGGAAAAGTAAACAAACAGGACGATGATGGGCACGGGGACGAGAAGGACGAGCAGGAAAAACATTAAGCAAGTGAGAGCGATAGACACTTGACTAGAGAGCAAACACACTTGAGGGAAATTGCCCAGGCAATTTTAAGTGGGAAATGCGAAGCTTTTCCGGTGGTTCCCACACTTTTATTGCCCAAGAGTTGTAAAATCAAAATTTGAGAATTATCTAAGATCCATTCAAGATTCAAAATTTGTCACAATTTCATTTGAAATATTTTTAAAGACTATAAAATATTTTAAAACATTTTTTCGTGATGTAAAAATTGGAAACTATATTTTTGTGATTGTATTATGCTGAAATATTTGTAAATTTCAAGTTAACATTTTGTTTTTATAAAAACAAGTGACTAATTGACTTTTAACTCTTTGCCTGAGGCTGAGGCTCAAAGATATAAGTCCATATGTACACGGATATATATCGACTCTTAAATGCAACATCAGCGGTTGCATTAACAAATTGAAAATTATGCATAAATCCTGCACATTTCTCCATCTCTTTCTAAGCCTATACATATATATATATATGTATTTATATGTATATATGCAGCACAGGGGGGAAAAGAGAAGGAAAGAATGAATGAAAGGTGGCAGGGAAAAGAGTGGAAATTGTTAATCCGCAATGGGAAAATTAATTTTATAAAACAGCTGTGCGTGAGCAAAGTTTTCCCTTCTGCGCACCCAATATTTCTCACTCTCCCTTTCGCCTCCTTTTCTTCTCTTCTATTTTTTCTCATTCTTTTTTTTTTTTTTTGTTGGTGCAGACAAATCCTTTTGCAACAAAAAAGGAATTTCAGAACATCAGGCTGGAAAGGGGGGAAATGGAAAACGTATAGAAAAAGAGTTGGCTAAGTTTAGGTGCCTTCTCTCACTCCCTCTCTCTGTCTGGCCGGTCTCTCTTTCTTTCTCTCTCTTACTCTGCCTACTCTTGGTCCCTGCAACCCCCGACGAAGAACAGCTGAAAGAGAGACGCAAATATCCTGAATCCTGTCCTGAATCCACGAGGTGACAATGGGAGGGAAGGTAAACTGGTAGGGTAATGGAAATAAATGGGTGGAAAGCCAAAGCTACACCATGAAAAAACTATAGGTTTAAGGCAACTCTCTATGATCCTGTGATATTTGATATTTAAAATAAATGTTATATATTTTTTTTAAGGTCATTGAAATAGTTTAACCTTTTTTAGTGAATAATTTTTCTAAAAAGAAAGAACTTCTTTCATTGTCTTTATTTTTGAGATATTTTCACGTTGTTAGAATATTACATTTGGAATATTAATAACTTATATGATATCACCTAGTTTGTTGTATTTATATTTATTATATTCCTAGATCTCTTAAGAAGTTACTTGTCTTGAAATCACTTCTGCTTCTGCTTTTACATCCCTAAACTTGCTTTTATAAAAATCCACTATTAAAAATCCGCTTATTAATGTTTTAAACTCACTATTCACACCACCTAAACTTGCCTTTTGGCTTTTAATAATGAACTAAATATATATTAATTGGAATATTTCCTTAATTTTCCTGCAGTGCATAGTCCTGGCGATTAGTTATTAAGGATGCTAAAGGATGCTAGAAGGGATGCTGCTTTCGATGGTGCTAACCGATGGTTGTACCGCTTCTATTGCCTCTACTGGTTTTCCCCTCAATGATTTATGATTGTGCCCAGCGATGGCAGCCGTCCCCTGGTGCCAAACCCACCCTCCCTTCCTTTGGGCTACGAATTCGGGATACGGGATTTGGACATCGAATGAAAACATTTCTGGGCGTAAATGTTTGCTCTGTTCTGGTGCAGATAAGCTGCGTAAAATTATTACGTTATTTGTATTGGTTGCAATCAACGCCCTCTCACTTAGCTGTGAATATGATGGGATTGGAGGAGAGGGGGATGCAGGAGCAGGAGGAGTTGGGGAAGGAGACTGAGACTGAGACCGAGACCCACCCCGGGATCTGATCTCAACTGCTACTGGGCCATAAAGATGCCTATCATTCAATTAATATTTACCAGGCCCAAAAGCCCCGGGACTCTTTGGGTGTAGTGATTATGACTCTGATTTCGTTGCGGGGATTCTGAGATACCAATTGTGATTCCAGATACTGATGCTGCTGCTGCTGCTGCTTCTGCTTCTGATTTCCTCACACTCCTCATCTCATTCCTCTCTCTCTCTCCTCTTTGGAGGTTAATCATTATTTATGTGGTGACCTTTCAATGGGGATCCTGCTGCGAGGAGGTAGCGATCCTTTGAAGGTGGTCTATGCTGGATAGTGTCCTCTCTTAATATATTTAGCATTTACAAAGGGTTTTCATAAATGAATTAACTAAATATATTAACATTTACTTTAAAAAATATATATATTTTTCTCAATTTAAATAGTGTTTTTCCGCAACACTCTCTACACTCTAGTCACAGGTCTAGTTTTCCTTTCCTCTCCTCTGCTTCTCTCTGGCTAATTGAGTTGCTTGGCTTCTTTTGGAATCCCAAAAAACACGGAACGTAACACGGAACATGGAATACCCAGTTATAGCCCCCCCTGGATCCTCTCCACGCCCCCCTTACTAACCAAAAGCCAGACGCCTTTGGTAACATGCAAACGATTCGTGTTTTTCCCTCTTTTATGTTTTGTATTTTTTTTAGCTTGGGGTTTTGTACGGTTTTCCTCCTAGTTTTCATTGCTGTGTAATCTGATGCGTTGTGGGTGTGTGTGTGTGTGTGTATGACTGTGTTGTGTGTGCTTTTAATAGGAGGTGTAGCCTGGAGGTGTGCATTGACATGTTGCGTCACTCAAGAGACAGGCACAGTGGGTTTAATACTTGTTAAGATATTATTTGAATTAAGTTTAGATTGGGGCTAAGTTTAATTAAGGTTTAGACATATTTAAAGAATAATTTCAAGTATGATTCAAGTATTTTTTAACTGTATGTTATTCATTTAATTAATTTAAAAAAGATCTATTGATTGATTTATTCATTATTTGCTTAATTTCTCTAAAAGAGGTGTAATAACTCGTCATTTCTATTAACACTCTTAACCACTGTGCCTAAAAAAACACACACAATTCTATAAAGGAGACAGTCCAGGACTCTCCTCGTTAGGAACCACTGAGAATACACAAAGAGCATGAGAGAATTGAGACATGTGGAAAATCTATACAAATGTCCATTCCCTGTCCTGGCCCCCGCTTCCTGTCCTGTCCTGTCTCGTCCAGTCTCTGTTTTGTCCTGTCCTGTCCGCTTTTCCTCTCGGTGTGCATTACTCGAATCGATTGTGTTAAAAACGTAACTTTTGAATAGGGAAACAATCTTTGTGGCGGTGGGGGAGGGAGAAAGAAGTCAATTCATGGGACATGTGCAAGATGTCCTTGCTGCAGCACTGCTTCTGCCTTTGCTACTGCTTCTGCTTCGTTTCTGCTTTTGCTTTTGCTTTAGTTCTGCTTCTGCTTTTGCTTCTGTTCAGAAACCGCCCAACCACCGATGGAACTGGCAATAGGAACGTGTCGTTTTTCACCGACCACTGCAGGGGCTTCCTTGTTCGCTTTTCCTCAGCTTTCCCTGTTTCTTTAATGTTTGTAACTGCAGTTGGTTTCTCGGTTCACTGCCTGCCGTGGCCTGTTTTTTTTTTAAAGGCTTTTGTCGGCTGAATTTTCCTGCTTTTAATGCATTTTGTGTTTCATTTAAAGCCAGTTTCTTTCGAAATATTTGTGGGTCTTGCGCTGTTCCACTTTATTATCAGCTGTATGTCCTTTAAAGTGTCTTGAGCCCTAAATCTTATTCTCCTCAACACATTTACACATATCCTGTCAAATATTTACAGTTCCCCTGATTGAATAAGACCTTAAATGGTTGTCAGTTTTAGCTGCTTTTTTGCAACTGCTTTTGGGCCAATGCAATGTCACGTCCTTAAATTACAGTGACAATTACAGAGGCCGAAAGCAAAAAGCAAAGCTAAACAAATCGATAGATCAATGACAAATGCAGTTGCCAATAATGTTTGTTGTTTTGTTGTTTTTTTTCCTTGCTGTGTGTGTTTACATTGCAGTTTCCAAAATTCAAACGATCAATTGTTGGCTGCGGCTGTGTTTTCCCAAGAAATTACCAAAGAGATGACAGTTTTTCCAGCAGGAAAATGCAGCAAACAAAAACCGGAAGCAAACCTCGATCGGTTATTGGGCCATTTGGCAGTTATTCAGGCCCTAGCGGCGCTAGGCAAACTTGTTTGTTTAGGCCCAAAGGGAGAGGAAAGACACCTAAACAAACACCTGGAGAGTTACGATCCCGATCGGGATCTATATACACGAATATCCCTTGATTGAGTTGCACAATTTGCTGTCATCGTGAGGCTCATCTGGTGAACGCTAGAAATTAGCGCAAATTATGCTCGACTAATGCCTTGAGTAAACTTCAGTTACGCAGCCATTCCATTATTTCCCAACTCTTCGTCCTTGTGCCTGTCCATGTCCATGTCCTGGAGGGGTGACTTGTCATACCCCGCAAATACTTTGTGCAAATACAAAAAGGGATTTGGTTTTTTTTGGGGGGAAATGGGAAAACCGGGGAAAAACCGGGAAACTCTGGCATCTATTTGCATTAAAAGTCATCAAATCTGTACGCTCCATATGTGCCATGTGAGAGTGAGTTGTATATTATGTTATTATCCATCACCAGTATCCATCACACCCACCCGTAACAATCTGTTCCCCTTCGAGCTGTTGTAATTTGTTTGTTTTATGGATTTCTATTACCAAGGGCATTTCATCTAATTAAACCAACTATATGTACAAGTGTGTGTGTGTGTGTGTGTGTGTGTGTTTGTTTTCTGGGTCTTTGAGTTAACAAAAAGAAAAAAGCCCACATGTGCGGGTAATGACTGGAAGTGAGACTTTTAGGAGTCAAAAAATGAGATTTCAGGCAGAGTTAGAGAGTATTTAGCTTTGGGTTTAATGTTAAGTGAGGTTAATTCTATAGTTATGGGTATATATATTAAATTTTAAAGCTTACCTGTACTCTGGATTCGGGCAGATTGATTTTGAGAGCCACTTCTTCGCGCATAAAGATGTCCGGATAACGTGTCTTGCCAAAAAGAGCCTCCAAAACATCCAATTGGGCGCGTGTGAATGTGGTGCGTTCGCGACGCTGTTTTCTTGTGTTCACTCCTAAATATTTAGAACATATAAGATAAATAGAAAAGAAAAGAAATACATATTAGTTAAAATAAAGCCTAAGAGTGAGGCAAGTGCCTGACCGAATGTGCTGAAGGTTACAGAGAAGAAACCAAATCAAGTATACGCCATGTGTAACAACTGACTTTTCCCAGTAATATTTCTTGCCCGTTAACCGTTATTTTTGGAGCATATACATATCTCTCTCTCTATATATATATATATATGTGTGTGTGTGTGTGTGAGAGTGTTTGAGAGTATACTCTGTATGTGGTGGTAGCAACCCCCGAAAAATTCGCTAGAGGCCAACCCCTAAGTGGGAAAAAAGGAAAACGACAACCAACCCCCGTTCAGCAGCAGCAGCAGCAACAGCAGCCGCCCCAAAAACTCGACGACTCCCTTTCAGTTCAAGTATATAAGCTGTGTGCTATATACTACATATTTATATATATATATCTTTATATATATATATATCTTTTGTTACTCTCTGTGTGTGTGTGTGCTAAGCCGCCGCATTGTTTGCTTTGCCATCATCCCTCTCTTGGTCGCAGGAAAATAAAATAAAATAAAATACAAAAAAAGAAAAACGTATACGTCCCACTCCTTGGCTGTCCCAAATACTACATACAACTCACCCTCCCCTTTTTTCCTGGCCCTATCAAAAATTAATGAGTTAGTCATTTTGGTCATGAATTTATAAATTGAATAAAAAACTTTACCTCACTTCACATCATTTCAACTTGCAGCTGCCACTTTTTGGGTTTTCTGTTTCAGTTTCAGTTTCGTTTTCGCTTTCAAAATGGTTGCCAAAAACTCTTGGCTGATTTCTATATAAATCTATAGATTATATAGCCAAATCAAGTAATTGGCATTTGTTGTGTGTGTGTGTGTGTTTGAGAGAGCTTGTTGTTTAATTAACCAAAAAAAAGAAAGAAAAAAAGAACTGCACCTCAACAAATCTTTATTTTTTTATGGGTTTAAGCAAATTGTTTTGACTTTTTATGGCTTATTTTGGGGGGTTTCCAGGAAGGTTTTTGCTGTCTTTAAATGAAATATAGTTTAAGGAGAATTAAAACTTATTAAATTGATTATTGAGTTTGCATTTTTGTCAATTATTTAGTTAAGAAATATAGAAATAATATTAATCAAAGCCTGAAGTTGTTCTTTTCCAATTTTTATAGTTTCAAAATTATATGGAAACAATATTTTTTAAAATTGATTGCAAGTCTGAAATCGGTTGTTTTTCTTTTTCCTTATTTTAATTTTTATGTTTTTTTTCGCTGCTTAATAATTTTTGTGCTTCGCTTTGGGCCAAGTCTTTTGTTGTCATTTTGTAGCCAATATATATTTTTGTTGTGATTTTGTAGTTGCCTTTTTTTTATGGCTGTTTTTGGTTTTTTAGCGATATTTTTTGTGTGTGAGGGTTTTGTTTGTCATTTGCAGCGTCACCGAGCGAAGCGCAAAACTGGAACCGAAACCAAGCGAAGCTCAAGCTTCAGATTGAAGCTTGAAAAAGTAAAAAATAAAAATAAATAAAGAAAAACAAACTGGAAGATAAAGTCGAACCGAAGCTCATTATTCATTTTGACAATTTAACTGATAATGATGCAATATCGATGCGAACTGACATTGAAAGCCCAAGCAAAACGAAGAGGAAGCCACTGTGTACAGTAGGAAAAAATGGAATGATCACTTAATTAAACCATAAAAAAGTCTTTAGTAAACAATTTATGAAATTTCGAAGAGAAACTATAGAAAACTATATTAAATCCTACAAGAAACTTTGCTTTCAAGACTCTAAATTAATATTCTTTGTGTTTATATCCCTGAAAACCGAATCAAATCACTTCTAAGACAGCATTTATACCACAATTTCAATTTTAATCTGTTGTAAAATATAATAACCTTCAGCACATTTGATCTAGATCTATTTTGCTTACGTATTTTCTGTTTTTATACCAAAATTGTCGATGCGATATTTACCCCACATACCTTGGGAGAACCCAACGGCCTCCAGTCCATGTGGGAGACCGAAGGGACCCAGCGATGGCATCGGCATGCCAGGCGGCAATGGTCCATGGGGCACCGAATGGTGCGGATGTGGACCGCCATAGCTGTGCGGATGTGGGCCCAGGTCGCCCGACTTGAGGAAGCCCGCCGCCATCAGGGCCTCGGTGGAATGTAGCGCCACGGTGAAGCTGTGTCTTTGCGCCGCCGGTATTCCGAATAAAATATATATTTAGTATCCCCAAGGATAATCGCTAGGTCCTAGCTTTAGCCCTAGGATCTGCTGCGTTGGTTTCACTTGTCTTCCTTGCAAAGTTATCGCTTTTGATGGTTGTATCTGTAAAAAGATTGAGATATTGTATAAATTATAGTTAATATAAAAAGGTATTTATAAGAAACTTGATTCATTTTTCAGTTATTTTGAGATTTTTAGGGGAAGTAAAAGTTGGAGTTATTTATTTGTTTGGGATAAGACCTTCTTTTCTAACTGAAACCTTTTTTTTTTTTGATATCCTGGGTTATCTTTATATTAAATATATTAAATATCTATAAAGGACTTTTTAGTTTATTACTTATTTTTAAGGTTGTCTTGAAAAGGTTTTAAATTAATTAATTTTTGCTTAAAGGTTTTAAATGAATTATTTTGTTCGTTTTAAGTTTCAAAATATTCTAATTTATTATTTTAAAATTTTAAAATGTTAGATTAATTCCTTTTAAAATGTTAATTAATTAAATTTATTATTTTAAACCTTTAAAATTACTTATTTTATTTCTGTAAAGATTTCAAAATGAATTGCTTGTTTTGTATAGTTTCTAAGTTTCTATTTCAATATTTAAATCGTTTTTGGTCCTATAAAAATTCCATTTAAAGTCAAAATGAACACAAAGATTGATCGCATTAAAAACTACTGATATATGTTTCGGAAATTCAAACACTGTGATAATTACATTTACAAATTCGTTAATTATCTGTGAAATTCACGTTCTGAAAATAGATAACTTGCTATATTATTTGTGTTGTGTGGGCTAAGCTCTTGCCACGAGTTCCAATTACACTCTAAGATCGGGAATGACAAGAACATGGACTTATAAGGCCCGAGATCTCGCCCACACACGCTCTCTCTTTCTATCTCTCTGTCTCTTTCTGGTGCTAAGTCTACTCCTGCGGCTTAATCCCGAGGCTGGTGGTGATGTAAAAACTTCTAATCTGGGCCCGAATGCCGACGCTCGGGGAAGATTACCCAACCAGCCCAGGACAAAAAAAGGGCCCGAAGAGCCTCCAAAGAGGCGAACCGACGACCCGAAGGGACATCCACGAACCGAAACGAAGACTGAGAGAGAGATTCGGACCGAGACTTGGGCTTATCTTGCGGTTTAAAGATCTTTGATCTGCGCTTAGCCGCAGGATTATTTCAGACACTCACTAAAAACGGTCACACACATCCATATACATATATATGTATATATATGGATATATAGGGACCTGATCCAGGACAATGGGAATTAAGATTAAGCCCAGACAGGGACAGGGACAGAGACTACACACAGGCTGGATTAAATTTTCTTTTTGGTACAAACTCCGTTTCTATGGGCATTTCGTGCGAAAAATAAATTAGCCAAAATATCGCCAGAGAAGAGACACAGAGAGAGACAGAGAATTGGAGAAATTTTAAGGACCTTTGAACACTGAGGTTAAGAGGCCAATGGCAATTGCGGTATTAGCACGAACACCGACACCTCGCATTGTTTTGAAATTGAAAACGGACCCGAACTACTTATTTGTCATCATCATCAGAGGAGAGACCCTCAAACCGGGGTCCTCTCCGTGGTCCTTTCGGGGTATGTAAAATTTGTTTTGTTTTGTCATGTCGTTTTCATGGCTCAATGCACTACCCACAAAAAGAAAAAAAAAAGAAAAAAATAGGAAGGAAAACACACTCCCAAAGAGACTCTGAGCGAGTGACCGTAACCCAATCCGAGACTCCTCCTTTGCCATCCTTGTCGCATCCCAAATTACATGCTCACGCGCACACGCAAATTAATAACACATCTGGCTTCGATTCCGTAGGGGATAAAGCAAGGATTCTCGATTCTGGATACTGATTCCAATTTTCGGGGAGGTTTCAATTGCGGGTTGAACACAAACACACACACAGCAGACATGGAAAATCTGCGTTTTCTCTTTTCCACATAAACAGAAGCTGATCAGAAACTAAAGCTGTAATTGATAGTTGGCCTTGAAAGTTAAGCTTAAGTTGAGTTAAGTTGATTAATCACAATCAAAGGGTTAAGGTGTATGATATTTTAAGCATTAAACGAAAAAGTTATTAGGAAAGTAGGAAAAGTAATGAGAAGTATAGCTACATGTATTTAAAAACTGATTTAAGTTAGTTTATAGAAACAAGTCAAATTAAAAAGAAGAAAATATTTGTATATTGAAGTATTTCAATGAAGGTCTTTCGACTGTTATAATTTCCAACTCTTTCCGGCTATTAAAAAAATAGTTTGTTCACGTAAAATCAATGATATTTGAAAGATAGATAGGAGATTAATAAATGAATAAATATATATTCAAAGGAATTCTTAAAAAAACAACATCTTCCGACTATAATTCTAAACTTTTGTTTTCAAAACTATCAAAAATTCGATAACTTTATACAGGAAAAATGAAATTTAAATAACTTTGTAAAGTGAATTTGATTTATTTATTATACCTACTAATTACTTCCCTCTCCTCTCCCCCTTTAACCCATAAAAATAATTGACAAAACCCCCTAGAAAACTCTCAACATCTGTCAAAAACCAAAGAGTGTGTGTGCGTGTGTGACACATTTTTGAACCGATCCCAGAGAGAGCTCTACGTGATTTTCTAGACATTTGCCCTCCCTCGCTGATTATGAAAAATCATGGTATATGGCAAAAAAAAAGGCCACATAAAAAATAAAAATATATATAAAAGAGAATCCAAAAAAAAAAAAGAGGAGAAGGCCCCGCTGGTTTTTGATCTTCAAAACAAAAAAGAGATCCATTGTGAGCCAAAAGTCGAAACGAGGCGAAACAAAATCATTTACACCGAACACATATCACGTACGATTTTCTGGAGTACATCATTCAGATGCTATAGGATATACCGTATATATTTTCTGATTCGATCAATTCTCATTTGATTTTCACTCTCAGTTTCGTTAACAATTTCCGCCTTACTCGAAAAGGCACAAGGCACAAATCAATACGTTTGCACTCGCGTAATTACGGTCAAAATAATATTTGTTGGGTAAACAGCCGGAGGAAAACAAAATAAAGGCCACAAACAGATATAACATATATTCCAGCAACGAATTGAAGAAGCTACCACAAGAAGAGCTACCGTCGAACCCGCACATAACATATATGTATGTGAAAACACATATATCCAAGTGTTTTTGGTTCGCTGATGATGTCGATGTCGATGGCCAAGTCCCTGGGAAAGTCGAGAAAAGAAATCGAACTGAACTGCCACTTGGCTACTGTTCATTTGGGCCATGGGAAGCTATTCCAAACCAAAACCGAACTGAGATGCTGCGATGCTGCCTCCTCCGGTGTCTCCGTGTCTTTATTTCCCATGATTAATGGTCCAACTTTGCATAATATTTTTCTGGCTTTTTGGCTCTGACTAATAATCGTATCTATATTTAAGTTAGTCAGTCAGTCAGCCGATGTGCAGCTGTCAGGAGGAGACCTGGCTAACCCGTCAGTCTCTCTCTCCCCCTCCCCTCCTGGTTAGCTAGTGCTAGCTACTAGTGGCTAGTCGGAGCTATTAGCTGCCTTAACCAGCTCGCCATAACAACCTAATTTACTCGGGCACATTGCACATTTTTAACACTGTACAGCAAAGAGAGGGAATTAAAGTAAAATGGAATTGTTTAGAATACATAAGGAGATAAAATGATATATCTTTGTAGTTCATATGATATAATATTTCCTTCAAGTTGATATGAAATATATCTTAGCCAAGTTGTTGGAACTAAAATATATATATCTTTTCTTAGTGCTTTAGCTTTCATTTCATTTATTTAAAGTTAAAAGCCGTATATATCTCTTTTCATTGGTAAACACTTAAATAAATCATAAATTATATAGTATAATACAATTAAAACAAGACAAGTTATTTTAATGCATTATATAAACCTCATTAGGTATTAAGGCAACAGGATTAAGCCCTAATTCTGCTTTAAATAAATATTTCCAAAGTTGTTTTTATAATCAATTACCCGTCGGTATGTAAAATACATAAAAAATGAGTATTAACATGATATAACAAATTAATTTTTAAAGGATTCAGCTATTTGTATTAATTATGTTGGAAAAATCTGAAAAACCTAAAGGAAATGTACAATTTTCAAAGTGTAAAGCCTTTAAAAACTCTTGGTTATCTTTCAAAATAAATATATATAATATATAAATATATATTCAAAATTTAACTTAAAATAACTCGGAGAACATGAATTGAACTAACACCAAAGCTATCCAATCTCCAGCTGAAAAAGAAACCCAAAAATGAAGGTCCTTTTTCTCTTAAACTCCAACTATATATATAAGTTCTCTCTATATAGCCAGCCTTTGCTGGCCAGTGTACACTTCACACTTGAGCATGGTTAACATGCCATGGCAGCCATGGAGAGCAGGAAAGAAACAGAAACAGAAACCGAAATGCATTTCTCAGGCTCATTTACATTGAGCCGCGGCTACTGGAATATGTGGTCGGTCTATGGTCTACGGTCTATGGTCTATGGTCTATGGACTACAGCTTGGCACAAGTCCCTCCCGGTCCAAGCTAGACCGGGCATAATAAGCTCCCGCCGTCTGTCTACGTCTACGTCGGTGCTCCTCGCAGGGGCGGGATGGGGAGAAAAAATATATATAAGTAATGCAACTTAATAAACGCAACAAAGAACGAGAAGAGCAGCACGTCACGTTCCAACCAACCAAAAAGGAAAAAAATAGGAAACAGAAACTGGTATCTCGTATCTTTGGGCCAGGTTTTGTGGCTAGGCCTCGGTTACCAGTTAAAGAGAAAGAGAGACTTTTTGACTGGCTAACTCCGGCAGAGCCATTTCTACGCAAATGCATTTTGACATTTAAATTTGCAGTTTTCGCATAAAATTATATTTATTTATTTTAGCCGTGGCCATCTCGGGTTTAGCTTTGGTGAAAATGCAGCCTTGCCGCGATTATGATTATGATTACGAATTGTGATGAGGCTGTTGATGTGGATACCAGCTACTGACTACTACTGACTACTGACTACTGTCTACTGACTACTGACTACTGACTTTGACGTTGACGTTGGCTGAAGTTTAATTAAGCAACGTGCCAAATAATTGAAAAAGTGTGAAGATTTGACAAGTTTAAGACGCATTAAAAAGTGATTCCAGCACATATATGTACATATGTATATCTCTATATAGTATGGCCTAGAAATCAGGCAAGTCTAACTGTTTGTGGACGCTGTGACAAGTTTTTTTTAATTAGTTTTTGCTTATCGCCGGCCGCACATTATTTATTATTTACCTAATCAAATTGACACTTGAGCAGCAGTTGGTGTAATTAGCAGATACAAGGCAGATTGCCTAATCAAACTAATCCATGGCCTATAGATTAAGCCTAATCCCAAGTAAATACATATATACATATATACATATAAATTCTCAACTCGCAAAAGAACAGAAGTGAAGAAAACTCTCCTCCTGTGTCTTAATTATATCGTTTTCTGGTTTCTTTTTGCTGACAAAAAAAGAAAATCTTTAAACGTAAATGTAAAGCAAATGAATTGCATAACAAATTGCTTATGCGGTTTTATAATTGGTTTCCCATTAAGTCAACAATTAGCGTTTGGCTAAAGCCATAACCCTAGCCAAGTAAATCGAGTTAAACGAGAAATATGCATCATAATACATCATATTCAGACAGAATAAACATTACAAATGGCAAATAGTTTAAACTGGGGTATTTAATATTATTATTAGTAGAGATCAGATAACATTTAATGAATAAAATTAAACAGAACTAAGTTACAGATGTTGTTTCTTCTGTAAGTTTTTCCTAAGAAATTTTCTTTGTAGTTTTAACAACTTTCCTTCGGTCTCCCTATTTTTTCATTCACAAAAAAACAAAAAAAAATAAAATTTTCCATAAAAACTGTTGCCAATTCAACAAAAGTCTGATGCTTTACGTAATTTTCTGCCTCTTCTCACAATTCCAACTTCAACTCCAACAATTCAACAATGAAACCTACAACAACCACATGTAGCCAGATATGTATTGGTTAAAAATATTGAATGAATTGCTTGTTGCGGTTGTTGTTTTGATTGTACAAATGATTGCATCATGGACAGAGTGGACCAAAAAATAAATCAATAATAGACTAATAGAGTAAAGAGCTACACCAACAACAACAACAACTACAACACCACAACATTAACAACAACGACAGCTAGAAAAACTTATTATATTTGACGCATTGTCAATGTGATCTTGATAACTCGAAACTGGAAATGGAACCAGCAAGAAATAGACAAAAAAAAATTGATTTATATATAAAAAATACCTCCGTCTGAGTGATTTCTATTTAAATGGCTTTGTCAACGAAATTTGAGAAGCAACAACATCGCGTAATGAGCAAAGAGTGAAGAGAGATAAAAATTAATAATACAAATAATTGGAAGGAAAGAAAAAAAAACATACACACTCGCACACACAAAATAAATCTAAGAAATAAAATCGAACGAAATGGAATGAAATGAAACCTCACTTAGGGCGAGGCGACACCGCCGCCGCCAGAGATTGACAAAAGATGACGACAAAAAAAGAGAGAGAGAAAGAGAGAAAAAAAGGCAAGACACGATCTCCCAGGTACGGTTTTATCTATATATCGACTGTGTGGGAGTCAGAGTTAAAGACGCAGTCGAAGGTACAACAAATCCAAAAAGATTGGGGCGTGCTAGGGAAGCGGAACAATGGTTACCGTTTCACAGAGAGAGAAAATTCCAGGGTCTTTTTCTATGATTTTTGCACATTAACAAGGCTTAGAATAGTAAATGTTAAAAGAAGACTAATAGTTATAATATTAAGTTTAGTTTATAGCTTGAAAATGTGTTCCTTTTTTGCATGAAATTCATTCAAAAAAGTAAAGAACCAAATTCTATAAGATTCTTTAAATAATTTAAAATCAATTTTCAAGTTTATTTGGGAACTAAGTTAACATATTTTGTATAAGGTTTATATAGCATATATTTCTTTATATCAATTATTAAATGAAGCTTAGGACTTTTTAAACCTACTTTTCTCTTCCCCTTAAATAATTTATATATTCCTTTAGTTTCCCAATTTCTCACAGTGTCGCCTAGAGCAAAAATTCACTTATTCTCTGGGGGGGATATGGGACGCGATAAGGTATCAAATGTGTCGCGACGCAATCTTGGCGACTTTCAATTCACAAACACTAAACCCCAAAACCCAAACCCGAGCTTTGAGTGCTGGGCGGATGTTGTGAATGAATGAATTGGCATTGAGACATTGGGCCATTGAGGTATTGCTGGATCTAGGCTCTGCGTGGGCGCGTTCCAGCTTCAGTTCAAAAGAGATCCCTCCTTCAAAAAAAAGCACTCTCGAAATCGAAATCGAAATCAAATTCAAACACCAAGCTAACCCGAGAATTGGTAGAGAAAAATCGACTTGCATATTAATAACCATATGCAAATTAATAATAATAATAATAATAATACAGAACAACGAAGTAGCAGCGGCAAGAAGTCAACGTTTTATTCAGATATTATAATTTATAGCCGCCGCTTTGAAATTAGACGATGATTCCGGTCCGAAGAGATGTGGGGAATATATATATGTGTGAATAATGCGACCTGAACGGTTCGTTGTCCGTCGATGGGTCCGTCGGCTGGCCCTGTGCTCTATTGTATCTACGAAAAAATGTCTAATATTAGATTTTAGGGTTTCTTCGTCAACGCCTTGTCTTTTGGTAGCAGCCTTTTTCCCAATCACATTTCTCGCATTCGAACGAATGTTTTGCCTAATTAAGGAGGGCGGCCTTAATATGCCCATTAAAATTATGAAAATCATAACGAATTTCGATCTGCGGTTGGGTATTTTCTCACATTTTGTTTGAAACATTAGTCAGCGGAAGAATATTAGAGATTTCCTGCACTAAAACCGAGCTGGGGTATATATAATATTGGTTTAGATATGGGTAACAATATAGTAAATACTTTGTTTTCTATAAAGTATTATTTAGACAAAAATAAAATGCAATTCCAAGATAAATGTAAATACATTTATAGACAATATACTGAATATTTCAAGTACTTAATTTGATAATGATATTTTATAATGATCTACAATTGTTCAAAGACTAGTTAAGAGTGTGATATGGGTCATCCCAAGGGTAACGTATTTATACGGATAAATTAACGTATAGTTCAGATATATAGTTTTTCAAGACCAAGTACTCCTTATTCTTCAGATGGAACATTTTTTCAAGACGAAGTACTCTTTATAACAGAACAATTTTATATTTTTAGTGTTAATTAAACTGAAGATTGTATATCTTATAGATATACCTTAGTTAAAAGGAATTATATGTTAATATAAGCCTGATTTAAACTTTATGTTGGAATAAAGTGAAGTTGATAAGCCAATATATCACTTTTCAAGGATATTTAAAGGATAAACTAAAGAAGAACTTTAAAATATTGAAAATATTACAATGGATACTTTTCAAAAGATCTGAAGCATATTGAAGATATAACTAAAAGTCAAAAACGACTGTAGTGTTTAGGTAAACTTTTCTTAACCAACATATATCATAAATAAAGAAGATATATAGACTCAAAGTCAAGGAAAACTCTCAAACCCAGTTATCCCCTTAAAAAAATCAACCTGCTTAAGTCTACCGATTACCGCCCGCCCCTCGTGACAAATCCAAGTATCATAATCCGCAAATCCATTAGAGATCGGATAGATGATATGATTTTACCGATATGGGGGTTATAACCGATCGATATAGATATATCGCACTCACCGAAAAAAAAACACAAACAAAACTAGAAGCAAAAGCGGCGTCCGTCGTAGTCGTCGTCGTTTAGTTATATTCCAATGGCAACTTGTTTTTGGATCAAGATGCACAGATCGAGATCGGGATCCAGACTCTATATATTTCTTTAAACGGTATTCCAAAGGGAGGGGGTTTTCGTTTCGAATTTTTGTTTTTTTTTTATGCGATGTTTATTGTTTGGTTTGGACTTTGTTTTGTTTTGGCACTGGCAACACCGTAAAAAAACAGATTCTCGGGCACTGGCACTTGAATATATCCGAAGATATATGCATAGGGGATATATCTTTTAGTATTTCTCGATACTCTGCGGTTTGTATCCTCTCAACTCTTTTGTTTTTCCCGTTATGTTATGTTTTTCTCTGTGTGTATGTGTATGTTATGCTTTTTGTTTGTTTGTTTGTTGTTTTTATACTGGTGGCGACGGCGAGTGTGACTGTGTGTTGGTGCTGCTGCTGTTGCTGCTGCGGCGAACGCGGCGAAAACTGACTTGTGGGAGAGAGCGATCGAACGAACGAACGGAGCGGACGAACTATCGACGACAACACGTTGAAATTCGAAATCGAACTGGCAGAAGGCAACTGAACGAGGCAGCAGCGCAGCGAGCAGCAGAGCAGCCGAGCAGCCGGGAGCGGCAGAGCAAAAGTCGCTCGACCAGTACCAGCAAAAAAAACAACAACTACTGCTACCGGTTCGCTTGGCCAGACTGGGAGAGCGTGAGTGAGTGAGAGAGAGAGAGAGAGCGCACGTTGCTCTTTAGCAATGGCTGACGCTGTGCGACTCGATTCAAGCTATTAAGAGGGAGCGTGACAACCATATACACACACACAGGTTTCCGCTGTGCTGCTGCCTGGTTGTGTGCTGCAAGAGTCTGGGCACAAGACATCTCGCTCTGGCTTCTAGGCCTTCGTGTTCGGAGGGAGCGAGACAACCCATTGCTTGGGCAGCTGTATTTACCTCTGTGTTGTTGGTGCTTGCTGTGTGCGTGTTCGTTTGAGTGTGGAACCACACCCCAAAAAAGAAAAAAACAACAACAAAAATACAGTTTAACATCGTACTCACAAAAAAAGAAGGAAGATAAATAACATAAAAAATAATAATAATAAGAAATAAAAAAGTACCTTCGCAGCAATGAAATTTTAATGAAAACGACAAGGCAGGGAAAACAACGCAGAAATTTGTTAGCTAACAGCGAAAGATAAGAGCGAAGCGCTGGACCCTACGTGTATTTCTTCTGCTTCTGCTTCACCGTCAACGTAAAATTGTCATGCACACTCACACTAGCACACAAACACACACACACAACACAGCAAGCATTGGCAGTGGTGTAAGGGAGAGACAGGAGCCACTCACTCACACAGAACGCCCCCTCTCTGTCGGCGCAATGGGCGGCCCCATTGTTCGATAATCATTTACGCAAAATAAGAGCCAAAGTACTTGCCACACTAGGTGGCTTTGATTTCAGGAAACTAATGGTAAAGGTGTGCATTGAATTCGGGATAATCGAGTTATTCAAATTGTAATTAAATTGAGAAAGTCTGGAAGTCTTACAGGGATACAATATATACAACCTAAAATAATACAAGGTTGTACCAACAATTAGTTTGGATTAAACCCTTGACTTTAACATTGAAGGAATTCTGGACAAAGTCATACTTGAAATTCTTGAATTTCTACAATTTTAGAGTTTCATCAGCTTAAGCTTAGAATTCCCCACAGGTTCGGGTATTGAAATACTTTCCAAATATCACTAAAAGTGAATTACAACTTACAGCTTTACTGTAAATGATATTCGCATGTACATACATATGTAACTGTGCTTGTAGCCAAAAGCAACCAACAACCAATTCAGTTAATTTTTTCCCCAAACTTTTTTGCATCATTTTGTTATATTTTTTTGTGCTGCTTTATAGCTGACGCAGAAAAAAAAAACGCCGGGGGTGGGGAGGTCGGAAAAACCCTTATCAAATTTTTATGACAATTTGAAATAGCTGACGACAGTTGTTTTGCTCGCTTTTTCGCTCGCACTCACCGCTCTAACGGGCAAGCGAAAATGTTGCACAAATATTTTATGGATTTTTCTTGTAAAAATTGTTTTTCTGTTATTTTTTTCTGTCTCTCTTAATATTCTTATTTATTTATTTTTTTTTACTCTCGCACTTTTCCCCATTTGGAGGCGGCCAAATTAAATTGTTGCGGCTAATTGATGTGTAGATGAAACATAAAGCAATTACCCTTGGAGGGGTACAGTTATCGCAGCTTAGCATACAATTTGGGGTCCCGACAAGAACGTTCTTGTTGTTGTTGTTGGGAAAACTGTAGTAAACTGAAGTTAAAGAAGGCGAAACGAAAACGAAATTAAATTTCGCTACCAAATGTTGCTTAAGTAACTTTAAAATGTTGTTTTGAAGTTAATTTGGGATTAGAAGAAGTTGGGGTAATGAAAAATATATTGAAAAAGATCGTATATTAATAATATTTAAATGATTTAATAGTACGAGGATCATTATAAATTCGAAAGATTCTAGAAATTTCATGTTTATTTTAATTTTGTATGGATGTAGTTATAATGATCTATAAAACTAACTCATTTACACACATTATATCATCAAGTATATTATATATCTTAGATACAACTACAGAATACTCAAATCTCCGAGTACATTCAACTTTTGAGAACAAAAAGCCTAGAGAAAACCGATTTGAAAATGAAAAAACTCAAAAGTTGAGCACAAGCATATGTATGTAGGTATAGTGTGTATCCGTGGGTGCTATTTTTGTTGTCCATAATTCTACACTTTTTGCTCCTTTTTTTGCCAGCCACGAAAAGTTCGCCGCCATTTGCCCCAAAACATTTTTCATAGGCGACAGTTTTGATTGCTCGGCGGAAGGGGATTGCGTGTGGGCGTTCGTTCAGGTTTTCAGCTTGTTTTTCTTTTCTTTTTTTTCGACTTCGCTACTTCGAAACCATATAGTTTTCTTTTACGTCTTTTTTTTTTAACCATTTTTGCGTATACGTTTTTGGCCGGCTGATTAACGACAATTCGTTTGGCTGATTTTTTATTGCCCTGCACATTCATTAGCCTCTGTCGTAGGCGCGTGGCATGCCCCATGCACTGGCAAAAATGTGGGTAACTTGGGGGAAACATTCTTAGAAATCGGGTAGGAGGTTTTAATGGTGAGATTATGGTCTAAAAATAGTTGAAAATTCAAAGTTAGGAGGAAAGAAGCGTTATAACTATTGGGAACTGACAATGTAGAGTTGGGAATAGAATAAAACATACATAAAAGAATTAAAATATAAACCTTAGTATGTATAGAATTTTGTTAAAAATTATAATTATAATATAATTTACAGAAATCAAGTGATATAAGATCTTTGGATGCTTTAAATACCTGATTTAATATTACTTTAGGACTTAATATTAGGAACTTTCGTTTCACAGTTTAGGGGAAATATAAATATGTACTATATATATATTTATATGTATATATGTTTGTATATATATAAATAAGTCTATCTAATTTTATTTAGTGTTTAGCCGTTGCCTTTTATTGTCTTCAAATGGGGTTCTATTTTTATGGGAAGGGCGTTAAAAGATTTTCTGGGGCCAAATGGGGCGTGGCGTGTAATAAAATAAGTAATGTAGGCATGTGGGCGTGGCATAAATAGCCTGATTAAACTTCCTCTAGTCCATAAAAGTTGAGGGAAAATAACTCTGATATATATATATTATTTAATGTACAAAAAGAGAAAATAATTTGTTAATATATATATAAGGGTTATAATAATGCATTCACTAAATATATACATTTACAGATTTTTAGTCAAGCTTCATATTACATACATTAAAATTTATGTAATTATAAGTCAAGTATTGGATTTAATCCACATAAATTAATTCCTTCTGAAATATAACGTTTTTACTGACTAAATAATATATCAATTATATATATAGGTACATAATAGCATAGAATATTTATTTACCAAAGCTTTTTTCATTGCTTTAAATATGTTAATTAATTAATCAGCAAAGAAAGGAACATCAGGTAGCCCTTACATTATTCGCCAACTTAAAACCAGGTTAAAACAATAAAATTAACCAGAAAAAAACCAGAAGCCGCATAGAAAAAGTGGCAAGTGCAAAGGATCTCAGATCCTTCGCCGGGTTTGACCTCGTTCTCGTTCTTGTTCTCGTCCTCCTCATCCCATTGCATTTTTCCCAGTTTCATTAAGGCAAGCCGCAGGATCAATGCAATGCAGCTGGGAAGGTAGGCGGCGGCAGCGGCAGGACGCAGCGGGAAAGGGACGTCGACGACGACTCAAGACCCATAGCTCAAGATCCTAGATCCCAGATCCCAGATCCCAGATCCTAGACCCTCGAGGTTTATTCGCTGTGCGTGGCCCGATGATTATAATGGCTTGCCTTTATGCTGCCTGATGGTTTTATGATGCGGTTAAGCGCTTGCAACCGCAAAGTGGCCGCGCACACGACGCACAGGACCAAAATGGCAAAGGATCTAAATGCACTGCAAGGAAAACTGTGTAAAGAAAATAAATGGGTATTTAAATAGGCTTATAATTTTAGTCAGAAGCTTGAAATCCTGTGAAGGAGGCATTTCCGACCCTATAAATCATATATATTCTTGATCAGCATAAACAGGCGAATCGATCTAGGCATGTCTGGAAGAAAACAAAATTTTGACATATTTTTTCAAAATTTTATCGTTAAAATTAATACAAAAAAATGATGAAATTTATAAATTTTTAAAATTTTAATTTGAGCATGCATATTTATAAACCTATGAAAAACTAACATGGGAAAGCTTTCCGAAATAAAATTTAAGCATTTTTGGCTTAGTTATGAGTTTTTTAAACTTTGATTTATAGGGAAAATTGTCATTGATTAATATCAATCAATTGTGACTCAAATAATGCGAATATTTTAAGCTTAGTTACGATAGATTTCCAATTTCACTTAAAAATTAAATTTTTTTATTAAGTTTTAAGTATATTTTAATGATTTGAATTTTTCAATAGGAAATGATATTAATTAGCTTAAATAAATATATAAATATATATATATATTTAGGCATTAGGAAAATATTTCCCTTGCCCTATATCCCTTTTCTCTCAGTGCACTGTGCACTGGGCTCGACGAACGTTGCCCGTAGGATTCAAGCAAAGGACTTTTCGCGTAAGCTGCACAAGTTTTGGGTAATGCCTTGAGTACCTGTGCCGAGAAGGTGGCCCTGCGCCCTGTGACCTGCGAACCGGCAAACCTGACGACCTTACGACCTGCCGGACCAGTGGCCGCGTCCTTTTCGTATTTTTCCGCCCTCGCCTCGCGCGCG